AATAGTGCAAGTTAGATATTATTGTAATGTTCCGGACCTTTGCACGAGGAGATTCTCTCAATCTGGACCTTTTGGAAATGTACTTGAATACCCCTGACTTATTGTATTAGTTTGTTGCATTTATTGTATTCATACTAGTTTGTTTCTGTACTTCTGCTCTGGTTTATGCTCTTAGATGCTTGTATAAAGGAGATGCACTCATGACTTCTGGTGACTAGTAGTTCTCTTGAACACACTTATTGTAAGTCTCGTTGGATGACAGCATCTGCTGAATGACTGTGATGTAATGTGAAGCCGTCCTCACCCGAGCAGGTGAAGCTGTCCTCCACCACTGCTGCTGCTCTGGTCGTCTGTCCGTGATGAGGGAAGGAGAGCTGCAGCACACAGCCAAACTTCAGCCTCCTCCATCTTCCTCCACCTTCATCATCCTCTTCTCCTCTTTCTTTTTCTTCTTCGTTGGTGAGCTCCTTCAGCTGAGGGACAGACAGGAAGTCAGCTGCATGTGAATGTAGAAGTGTGTGTGTGTGTGGCCCAATCCCAATGCCCCCCCCCTCACGGACTTTGAGGCGCACTCCCGCGAAGTCTGTGAGGGTTTAGTTCTGTCTGTCACATCATCGAGTGCAAGTCATAGGATGCTGACTTACAGAAAGGGAATTACCCACAAATCATTGCAATGTGACGTTAAACACGGGGTAACCAGCCTGGAGTATTACATGTACACAGAAACATTAAGGGTTAAAGATGGAACATTAGAACATGAAATCACAGAATATTTATTCATTTATTCATCAAATATCTGATTTAGTCATTGAAGCTGTTTTGACAGAAACGAGTAAATAGATGATATGAAGTTACCTCTCATCTAGTGAGGAAAGAGCCTGAAGACGTTCACATCAGGGAGTACAAAGTATACAATAAATACACACAATATACATCATATGTTTTGTTGTTTTCATGGTAACGTGATATGTCCCGTTCATATTTACACCATGTGAAGCCCTCACAGTCTCTCACACTCACCAGGTGACCTCAGTGAGTCCTTGAGGGTTTAGGGTTTAGGGGGGACATTGGGACTGGGCCGTAGTGTGTCGTCTCACCGTGATGATGTCAGAGGTCCAGCCGTTGAATCCCAAGCAGTGATTGGCCAGTTCCAGGCAGCGGGCGTGGCTCAGAGGTCTGCTGCTGTCAGACAGGAAGTGAGGAGTCTGTCTGGAGCTCAGTCTCACCTGAGACACACAGACAGGTGACGGGCTGGTGTTGGACCACAGTGTTAATGAAAAGAAAAGGCTGTAAAACTACATCCTGTTACCACGTAACACTATCATCACTTCCTGTTGCACTGTGCAACTTTACAATAAAAGCACATTTAACAGGAAACAAACACTCTGATGAACTTCTATTCTTAAGTACTCGGTATATAAAACATGTATCATCAAAGTTTGACATGTTTTAAAACCCCGAATGAACCGTTTCACCTGTTCAGGTGGATCAACTGTCCTGAAGAAGACCATGAAGTACCTTGAGTGGAGAGTTCTGGAACAGCGTCTGTCCGTCAGTCTGCCGTAGTGCCTTTGAGGCCTGAGCAGTGGAGTAGAACTTGATGAGGGCGTAGAACCCCGGCGGGTTGGGAGCAGAGTTGGGACTCACCTTGAGCAGGTAGAGAGGACCGAAGGACGAGAAGACATCGAGCAACCGGACCTGAAGGACCAACACACAGAGGGACCACCTGTGGGTTCAGGTGGACTCACGCAGACCTGAACCCCCCCAGGTGGACTCACGCAGACCTGAACCCCCCAAGTGGACTCACGCAGACCTGAACCCCCCAAGTGGACTCACGTAGACCTGATCCTGGGTGTGAGATGGCTGGATGTCCCACACGAACAGCGTCTTGTTGTTCTGGACCGGGACTTTGAACTCCAGGACGTCGACCTCCATCACACCTACAGACCAGAGACAGTCTACAGGTGAGCACCTCAAACCAAACCTCCAGAAATCTGCTGATTGAACAGTTTCTGCTCTCAGCTGAGACACGTTCATATAAGAACATGTAATGTGGAACCTGTGGAACCTGAAGGCTCAGGAGGAACCTGAAGGCTCAGAAGTGATCTGGTTTTAAAAATGTATTTTGTAAAGAAACGACGAAAGAAACTAATGAATTCATGTTAAACTCCTTCATAACGAATCAGCGCCGCCGCGTTGACGTCTCTCTACTTTATTATTATTACGTATTGACTCGTGTCCGTTAACCGTCGGCTCTTTAGTCTCCGGTTGTCTTTTTAAAACTCGGTAAAGTTTATTTTACTCACATTCTTCTTCTTCTTCTTCGAACGAACAAACAAATGTTTGCCGCGCTTCCGGGGGGGCCTTGCTGCTGTAACCAATGAGGATGCAGACGGAAGTGACGACATGTCCGTCAGGCAAAGGTTTCCTCACCGGAAATTCATTCATCACGAATTTAACTTCGTTTTATGAACTTTTTTTTATCGTTTTTTAAAATCAGATTATTTTGTGTTATTGATCTCTTGATCCATTTATGAATCAATTGATGACGTGTATCTGTATCAGTGTATTTATGTTTATTCTTTATATATTATATATTTATTTGTCGCTCCTTTGATCTTCAGCCACATTCTGTGGATCGATAATCAGACACTCCTGATGACACTCCTGATGACGTCATCACTGCGTTGCCTCACCGTTTCCTCGACGACCGGAAAGTGAAAACGAGGCTGACGTCATCTTCCGGTCAAAAACCATCAAAACTCCAGAGAAACCGGAAACAGATGAGATGCCTCTTTCAAAACAAAAGCACATTATTAACTTAATACTTGATAGTTAGATAATCTCTCTGATGTTAGTCTTCATCGCATTCAAATATTAATACATCTCACTCTCTTCTCTTCATCTTCTTCTCCTCGAGCTCTGCTACTTTACTGCTGAAGAAAAGAAGTGTGCGTTTATTTTGAAAAGTCTATCTGTGGCTTCCTGTGACGTATGCAATCTGAGGCCCCTGGTTTGAAAAATGAAAGTAAATAAATAAAAAACATTCCAAACGGAACAATTAATAACAATGACCTAATTCATCTTCAAAGTATTTTATATAATATTATAAAATATAATGTATAATATAAAATTATAATCTATAACTTAATATTTAAATATCTGAAGTTTGTTTTTCATTTTTAAAGAGTGATTCTGATAAATGTCTTAATTTACTGATAACAGTTGAACATAAATTAATTAAATCGAAATATAATGAATGGATTTAATATTGCTGCAGTACTATTTATATACAACATATCTATATACATATTGTGTATTATATATATATATATATATTGTTTCTACACAGTGTTTGTGTTGAAAAGTGAAAGACAAAAAGTGAAAGACAAAAAGTCCAGTTTTCACTTTTCTCTTTCCTGTCTGGAATAAAAGTCTCAGATCAGCAGCATGTTGGAGACACAACCAGGATCAGCCTGCAGCCGCCATCTTCACCATCTTCATCACCTTCATCATGACCAGCTGGACCCGCCTGATCCTCGTCCTCCTCTGCAGCGCTGTGACCCCCGTCCTGTGCTGTGATTGGCTCAGACACTACGGGCACCTGAGCAACATCTCTCTGACTCTGGTCCAAGTCATGGTGAGTACATCAGCATGATTCGGGGTTAGTCCAGGTCCTGTAGTCTAGTGGTTCTGTGGTCCTGTAGTTCTGTAGTCTAGTGGTCTAGTAGTCTAGTGGTCTAGTGGTCCAGTGGTTCTGTAGTCTAGTGGTCTAGTAGTCCTGTAGTCCTATAGTTCTCTAGTCTAGTGGTCCAGTGGTCTAGTAGTCTAGTGGTCCAGTGGTCCTGTAGTCCTATAGTTATCTAGTCTAGTGGTCCAGTGGTCTAGTAGTCTAGTGGTCCAGTGGTCCTGTAGTCCTATAGTTATCTAGTCTAGTGGTCCAGTGGTCTAGTAGTCTAGTGGACCAGTGGTGTAGTAGTCTAGTAGTTCTCTAGTCTAGTGGTCCAGGATACTTTTAAAATCTAGCTTTCTCTTACTGGTTTCTCCAAATTTGCCAAACCCAACTTTAGAGGTTAATAAAGTTTATAGAGTCAAAATGTTTATAAAGTTTATAAAGTCAGGCGAACAGACAAAATAAATTTTCAGAATAAAACTTGGAGTAAAAAAAAACTATTTGTTATAAAAACTGCGAACTGTCCCTTTAAATCTGCTTTTGACTCGTTAGTAACAGTTAGTGGACGTAAACAAGTTTAACATTTTAGAGAAAATAATAAATATTATACACAATATTTGTTTTTACATGTATTAACAATTAACTACTGACGTGGATGGAAATGTATTAAAATATTTAGTAATAAATGTCCATTTATGAAGTGAAATGAAGTGAAATCTTTGTGTTTTAGGGCGGTCAGCTGACAGACCAGGAGAGTCCAGTTCCCTTTCCTTATAGACTCTACGAACGCATCAGGAAGGATGAGGTAATCAATCAATCAATCAATCAATCAATCACAATTTAATTTAAACTGCCACTTCACCTTCTTTCAGTCTTCAGTACAAGTGACTACACTTTAATTCATAATTCTCATGTTTATGCCGACAATTTCTTAGTAAACTTCACACACAAACATAAAGATTTATGTTGCTGACATCAGCTCTGTCAGTCAATCAGAGAGCTAGAATTCTCACACCTGTCTGTCTCTCTCCAGGTAGAGTCTCAGCTGGTTTTCATCAGAGACAGTCTGGAGCTGATCGCAGGTCTCTATCACCATGACAACCGCTCCTCCGTTACCTGGGATACGGACAAGACGGAGCGCTTCCTGATGACCATCGACAGGCAGACAGACGGCCTGAAGAGCTGTGTGAGTGGAGAGACACTTCAACTCCTTTCAGCTCCTCAACTGATACCTAAAGTACCTTCAGAGCACTTCAATAGACACTTCAACCCTTTTACTATTGAGGTTCACACTTCAACTGACATAAGCCGGTCACTGCTGACACTTCAACTGCTGTCAGTGCAGACACTTCTGACTGTTCAACTTCTTTGAGAACTGACAACTTTTAAACCTGAAGTTAACTGAACTGTGTTTTTGTCTTCAGGTGTCGACTCACAGCAGAAAAAACATGAGCCGACAGAGAAGATACTACCGGAGACTGGAAAATAGTACTCTGTACCGCACTGTGAGTACAAGTACTGCTGTTGTACTAACTGTAGCAATGTTTGGCTGGGTATGAGTACTAGTACTGACTGTAGTACTCTGTGTACAGGGTGGTATAAGTAGTAGTACTGACTGTAGTTCTGTGTGTATAAGTACTAGTACTGAGTGTAGTACTCTGTGTACAGGGTGGTATAAGTACTAGTACTGACTGTAGTTCTGTGTGTACAGGGTAGTATAAGTAGTAGCACTGACTGTAGTACTCTGTGTACAGGGTGGTAGTCCTGAGTCCTGGGAGCTGATCAGAAAGGAGACTAAACTGCACCTGGAGCAGTTGGACCTGCTTGCGGCCTTCGTGGTGGATTCATCTGCTGCCAGCAGGAGGCGCTCTACTGAGACTCGACACTGACTTCTATTCTGTTTCTGTTTGTCTTCTACTGTTCTATTTATTTGTCTGTATTTATGTTTATATTTATGAACAAACTATTTATTTTGTGTTTACGGACTCTGAGTCTGACTTTTTACTTGAAAACATTTTTGATAACTGACAATAAAGATATTTTACACCTTTGAAGTATTTTGTGTTTTGTTTGCAATACAGTAAAATGTGTCAAAGGTTTGGTGATGATGATGATGTGATGACCTCATCAGGTTTAACTGTGACCCAACATACATTTAAGTTCTCCTTACTAGGCGGCTGTGGCTTAAGATGTAGAGTGGGTCGTCCTGTGAAGATCGCTGGTCTCCTAGTAAGTGTCCTTGATCGAACCCTAACTGCTCCTAACAACAATGCTTTGGATGGAGGCGGGGCCGATGAAAGGATCTAGTCAGGAGGGCGACGTGGAGGCGGGGCCGATGAAAGAATCTAGTTAGGAAGGCGACCAGGATGCGGGGCCGATGAACAGATCTAGTCAAGAGGGCGACCAGGGGGCGGGGCCAATTAACAGATCTAGTCAGGAGGGCGACCAGGAGGCGGGGCCGATGAAAGGATCTAGTTAGGAAGGCGACCAGGATGCGGGGCCGATGAAAGGATCTAAACAGGAGGGCGACCAGGAGGCGTGGCAAATGAACGGATTTAGTCAGGAGGGAGACCAGGAGGCGGGGCCGATGAACAGATCTAGTCAGGAGGGCGACCTGGAGGCGGGACCGATGAAAGGATCTAGACAGGAGGATGACCAGGAGGCGGGGCCGATGAACAGATCTAGTCAGGAGGGCGACCTGGAGGCGGGGCCGATGAACAGATCTAGTCAGGAGGGCGACCAGGAGGCGGGGCCAATGAACAGATCTAGTCAGGAGGGCGAGCAGGAGGCGGGGCCAATGAACAGATCTAGTCAAGAGGGCGACCAGGAGGCGGGGCCGATGAAAGGATATAGTCAAGAGGGCGACCAGGAGGCGGGGCCGATGAACAGATCTAGTCAGGAGGGTGACCTGGAGGCGGGGCCGATGAACGGATCTAGTCAGGAGGGAGACCAGGAGGCGGGGCCGATGAAAGAATCTAGTTAGGAAGGCGACCAGGATGCGGGGCCGATGAACAGATCTAGTCAAGAGGGCGACAAGGAGGCGGGGCCAATTAACAGATCTAGTCAGGAGGGCGACCAGGAGGCGGGGCCGATGAAAGGATCTAGTCAGGAGGGCGACCAGGAGGCGGGGCCGATGAACAGATCTAGTCAAGGGGGCGACCAGGAGGCGGGGCCGATGAAAGGATCTAGTCAAGAGGGCGACCAGGAGGCGGGGCCGATGAAAGGATCTAGTCAGGAGGGCGACCAGGAGGCGGGGCCAATGAACGGATCTAGTCAGGAGGGCGACCTGTGTGGAGTTCACAGGATGAGAGGCGTTGTCTGGAATATTGTCCAAAGTAGTTTCCTCAGCATCCTCCTCTCTGACATCTCCAGTTCCCATATTGGGCGATACAAATAAAATTAAGTCGGAGAAGAAAAGACCCAGCATGACACAGGAAGACCCAGTAGCACCCAGTTGGACCCTCAAAGACTCAGTAGGACCAGTAGGACCCAGTTGGACCCAGTAAGACCCAGTAGGACCCAGTAAGACCCAGTAGGACACAGTTGGACCCTCGAAGACCCAGTAGGACCAAGTAGGACCCAGTTGGACCCTCTAAGACACAGTAGGACACAGTAGTACTCAGTTGGACCCAGTAAGACCCAGTAGGACACAGTTGGACCCTCGAAGACCCAGTAGGACCCAGTAGGACTCAGTAGGCCTGACAGCAATAAATGAATGACGGCCATCAGAAACAAACACTCATCTTTTGTTCGTCGCCATATCAAAGCTAAGGTCAAACTGAAAGTAAAACATAGTTTTGATAAAACATTAATATGTCTATATTAAGATTTATTAATGTTTCTCTCTAATGTTTCATTTGAACATGTTTTATTTGTATTTATTTAGATTTAATGATTCTCTGAACAAACAAAACAGAATTTCACTAATTTATTGATATGTCACATTAATCATTAAACAAAATAACTCACATGTTAAATGACTTATTACTGACAGTAATAACTTGTGATTAACACTGAATTGATTATAATAATATTAGATTATTATTGTACAGTTTGAACCATCAGTCTGTAGTTTGTGTCTGTGGCCTGCAGGGGGCAGCAGTTTAAAGGTAAAGTACTGTATTCAGAGTACACAGTATTGTACACAGTATTGTGTATCAGTACAACATGAGGGCAAAAATATATTTTTGGACTACTTCATACTTCTACTTCATACTTCTACTTCATACTTCATACTTCACTACACCTCAGAGGGAATATATTATATTTTTTAATGTACTACATTTAGTTACTTTACAGATTCAGATTATTAATCAATGAATAAATGATGTATTATTATTATTATTGATTATATAAAGATATTAAAATGATGAACACATTAATGCATCAATAACTATAGTACAATAACATAATATATATATATTATTCTGCATAATGAGCATTTGTACTTTTGGTTCTTTAACTAAAAGGTGATGTACTTTATTTTGAAGTAAGTTGAGTATTTTACACTGTGGTATTAGTACTTTTAATTTACAGAGATCTGAGTACTTCTTCTTCTGTAAGTTAATATTTGTTTATTGACATTTTAAAAGATTTTTCTTTCACTGAAACATTTCAGATACAGTTCATAGTTTGTGCCGTCTGTCTGTGTTTCTGTCTGTCTCTGTTTCTGTGTGTCTGTCTCTCTGTCTGTGTATATGTGTTTCTGTCTGTCTGTCTGTCTGTGTTTATGTGTTTATGTGTTTCTGTCTGTCTGTGTCTGTGTGTTTGTCTGTCTGTGTTTCTGTCTGTCTGTGTGTGTTTTTGTCTGTCTGTGTGTCTGTGTTTGTCTGTCTGCGTTTCTGTGTGTCTGTCTGTCTGTCTCTACTGTGACTTTGAGAAACTCTATATTTGCATATGGAATTCTCATTAATAGTAAAATTAGTTATTACAAATCCTGTTTGTATGGAAATACTCAGGTGTGAACTGGAGGCGGGGCTTCAGTCCTGCTCTGTGATTGGACGTAGTTTCCAGGGAAGAAGCCCCTGTTGCCGTGGAGAAATCCCTCACACCAGCCGTCGTCATGGCGATGAAGCAAGTAGACGACGTCGCCCTCCGTGAGCGACAGGTCGTCGGGTTTGGAGGCCTCGTAGCTGTAGAGCGCCTCCACTGGACACACAGGGGAACTACAGTTATGTATCTGTACATATACCTTTAAGTAGAAGACATCATGAAACATTAATGTCCGCTGTTAGGCTCATAACAAGTATAGCACCAACAAGCCAACTAGTAGACAGCTAGCTACTTAGCTAGCTTGCTAACTCCTCCACGCTTTCATGCAACAAGTTGTCATTTACCTGGCGATAGCAACGTGCTTTGCTACTCTGTGAAGAGAGTGTGTGGATGAAGCTTTAAGCTAGATACTTTGCTAATTTCAAAATGCTTCCACGCTGATGCTACACTAGCCGTGGAAAAAATTAGGCCGACTGGTCAGTTGAGGAGAACAGGTGGGAGTTTCGGAGACTAGCTAGCTAACTAGCCAATCATCCTCTCTCTGAAGCTTCCGAGACTAGCTAGCTAACTAGCCAATCATCCTCTCTGAAGCTTCCGAGACCAGCTAGCTAACTAGCCAGTCGTCCTCTCTGGAGCTTCGGAGACTAGCTAGCTAACTAGCCAATAGTCCTCTCTCTGGAGCTTCCGAGACCAGCTAGCTAACTAGCCAGTCGTCCTCTCTCTGGAGCTTCGGAGACTAACTAGCTAACTAGCCAATCGTCCTCTCTCTGGAGCTTCGGAGACCGGCTAAGTAGCCAATCGTCCTCTCTCTGGAGCTTCCGAGACTAGCTAGCTAACTAGCCAGTTGTCCTCTCTCTGAAGCTTCGGAGACTAGCTAGCTAACTAGCCAGTCGTCCTCTCTAGAGCTTCGGAGACAAACTAGCCAACTAGCCAGTCGTCCTCTCTGGAGCTTCCGACTGATATTATAGGAAACAGATGTGGCAGGTCTGTTTTCTACAATATCAGTACCTGTAATAAATATATACGGTATATATATATAGATATAGATACAGTATATGTGTGTACCTTTCTCCAGGTATTGTTCGGGGGCGTCTGAGTCATAGTCCACAGGTGGAGGGAGGGGCGGCATAAGGTCATCAAAACCACCCTCATCGTCCAATAGGAGAGGAGGGGACGTGGCTGGGAGTTCTAGATCTAAGAGCACAGAGGTCCTGTGAGTGACAGCTGTGATTGGCCAATCAGGTCTGAGGAGGCAAGGCTTTGGCAAAAAGCAGCGAAGCTTGATAGTTTACATTTTCAGGAGTTGTGTGTGTGTGTGTGTACTGCTGATGTGTAGTACTACTGCCCTACTACTGTAATAGTATAAGTTGGTCACAATACTATGCTGAACTGCTACTAGAATACTAACTACATACTAACAGTATGTGTGTTTTCTTACCCAGGTGTTCGAGGCGAGCAGGTAAGCAAAGTCGAGATGAGGAAGAGGAGCGTGGCAGCAGGGTGGAGGAGGATGAGGAGGGAGGAGCATGGGGGGGAGGGTAGGGGGGAGGAGGGGGGATCATCACTGACAGACAGACAGACAGACAGACAGAATCAGTCAGTGTTAGCTTCAAGAGGGGAGTGATCATTTGTATTCATAGACAATCTATGGATCCTCACACAGAACTAAGGACTGAAAAATCATCTGATCAAATAAAGGCCTGGAACTTTCTCCTTTTCCAGGTCTCCTGGACCGACACAATTTCCTCAACGACGTAAAACCTAAACAGTCCTCAATGCCCCCCGCCCCATAACCATCACGAGGACTTCAGAAAACCTACTCAAGACTCTGTAGAACATTAAAGCCTACTGCAACCTCCTAAAGGACCCTTACAACTCAAACAGTGTCCTGGATCCCC